AAGTGTAGATGGCTATATTTGTTATGTTAGATTATTTGACAGGTTGTTGTGATGAAGCATTAAAGGAGAATTACAGTTTATGTAGGTAACATAAAATATATATGTGGTTATGTAATATCAATCTTCGAGATAAAACAATATAAACAAAAATAATGACTGAAGTTGGGTAATTAGAAATGTTTAGATGTATATTTATGTATGAATTACTGTGATTGAATTTTACTGAAAGAGTTAATACTTGTCTAGGATTGTATCATTTGGTAAAAAGTTGGTAAGCTATATTTGTTATATGTTAGAGTATTTGACCAAAATTTGGCCAGATTATTGTGAATAACAGCATTATAGAACAAAATGTGTTACGACAGTTGAGATAGTTTCAAAATACAAACATGAGATGCCCTATGTAGTATCTCGAGTGCAAATTGTTCGCATTTTCAAAGGGAGGGAGACTAAAACAGCAGTAAATGAAGAAAACAACATCCAAGTATATACAAGATTTTACCTTTTCACGTGATAGGCAGGTATGTGAGAACAATTTCTTGTTTGGAAAAGATATATACATACAACGTGCAGAAGGCATATCACCGTAGCCATCTGTTTACATGTTATTAATGTGATGTAATCGCCTGAATTTAAATTACATTTGTGACGTCATTCCATTATCTGTTCGCTCCATTACTTTTCAGGAATGGAGCGATGTGTACCAGTTTCAAAATAAAACCTTCATTTTGTCATTTTGACATTTAATTTTGATAACAGCAATATTCCCAATACCTCAATGTAATTTAAGTAGGGTAGTATCTCGTAACTCCATTCCTTAAAAATAATGTTACTCGATTCTCCGGGGCCTCGGCTCCATTATTTTTAAGGAATGGAGAGTTACTCGGACATTACCCTCTACATAATGTTGGTTGCTAGAGAGGTGGTAGCAAGAAATGATTCCAAGAGCTTTGTAATAATGTAAGTTATCAATACTACAGTATTGTTGGTGAAAACTAGGAATTGTTTACAGCATATGTATTTGCTCTTCAACTAACTCAGTTGAGATAGTTTCAATAATACAAACATGAGATGCCCCATGTAGTGCATTTCGAGTGCAAATTGTTCGCAGAATTTTTCAAAGGGAGGAGACTAAAACAGACGTAAATGAAGTAAAAGAAAGAACATCCAAGCATAATACACGATTTTACCTTTTCAAGCGATAGGTAGGTATGTGAGAAGTTTCTTGTTTGGAAAAGATACATACATGGCAACGCAGAAGGCATATCACCGTAGCCATCTGTTACATGTTTTGTCTAAGAGTCACGTTGTTATTAATGTCACACAGTGTTAATGAGACAGCACTTGGAGACAATGTGAACTACCAAATCCACTTTCTCCTGGCTAAGATTCATGGTCATCTTCAGCCCTGTAGCTTCTAATATTGACTGAAAGTGGGTGGCATTTGCAGCCTTTTTACCGAACTACCGTCATGAATAAGTGATATTTGTGTTTTAGTTATGTTTGATTTTTGGTTGCATGTGACCTTTAAGCTTTATCAGCACCACCCCGCCTGTGACCCAGGCTGAGTCGAACTGACCTCTCAGAAACCAATCGCCTGGGCTGTCTGGCGGGATCGGCTCACACAGTTTAGTCAAGTCTTCATTGATGAAGACACGCAGACTTGATTTGTTTTGACCTCAGAAATTTCAACTTAGGGCGATCTTTAGAAAGGCTCGCTGTGTCGCGTTACTCACGAACCGTACTAGAATGGGCCTAGGGTGTCCTGGACGTGATCGGGCGGCGAGGCACCCTATGGCTGATATCTATGTCGTTTGCGACAACGATTACGTTTTCTTTGGTATTAATGATCTGATTTCGTTATTCATCCATGCCAGATCTTTGGTTCTAATTGTTACAGTTTTATTTGGGATATATTCATTCATGATATTCAATATTAAGGATGTAAGATTTTTGTTGACATTATCAACGTTCTCCGAAGAAAAAGTATATTTGAGTTTATCCCTTTGATACTTTCTGTTCATACCATTAATATCTGCTGAAGAGTAATCATAGAGTTTCCTTTTGAATGAATTATTGTTCTGTACAGTTCTTGTTGTATTAAGAAACACCGGGCAGTGATCACTGCATATAGTATCTAATACACGAAATCTCTAACATCGTCAACGCGAGATACAAATATCAAATCGATCAAGGTTTTGCTGCTTGGGGTTATTCTAGTAGCATCTCTGATTATTTGATAGCTTTCCAACTATTGCTCATCCTCCAGCACCAGTTTCAACTGAACCAGTGAGACAAAATGATGATATAGTTGCTACGAATGTTGAACTTGAGAAGAAGAAGAAAAGCATTTTGGGTGCGCCCATGGTTGGGTCAAGAGAGAAGATTAATGTTTGGACACTATGCGAGACTGATGCATGAGTTGAGATTTGAAGATACCTCATCATTTATCAATTACCTGAGGATACCTCCTCTCATGTTTGATAAACTGCTCAATACACTTTGTCCAATGTTGGAGAAATCGGACACGAACTTCAGAGAAAGCCCTTTGAACCAGGACTAAAGCTGGCAATCACCTTCAGGCACCTGGCGTCTGGGGATAAGTACCCCTAATCTCTCCTATGAGTCTCAAGGCACACTATTGCACAGTTCCTGCCTATGTACATGTGTGTCGTGCTATAGTAGAACACTACAAAGATGGAAGTGATCAACTGCCCTGTTACATCTGAGGAATGGCGAAGAGTGAGGGACTTTGAACTCCACCTGGAACATGCCTCATGCCATTGGGGCCCTTGATGGGAAGCATGTTGCCATACGTAACCCTCCCAGATCAGGATCCATATATCATAACTACAAGGGCTTCTTCTCGATTGCCCTCCTTCGAGCAAAGATTTAGAAGATTGTGTGTGTCATTTTCATTCATTGTTTTGTTATATTTTCACTTCAAAAGGAATGTTGAACTTATATCCTATTAAATATTACACATGAGCATCCATCGCCCATGCTACTTGAACTCGCAACAAGCAAGTTTTTATGGATTTCAACTTATATTTGTTATTAAGGTGCGATGTGTCGGTGCATGTTCTACCGCCTTTATCAGGCTATAGAACCTTGTGCTAGAACCTGCACCCCGAAACGTCGTACTTATAAATAAGTAGAGTTGAAATCCATAAAACGTGCTGCTTATTTACACAAACTTCTAAATGCCACCAAGATACTACTGGAACTCACCCAGTGTCACCAATGTTTACTGAACTCACTCAGTTTCACCAATGTTTACTGAACTCACTCCAGTGTCACCAATGTTTAATGAACTCACCCTGTAGGATACAACAATGGAGAACACAAAACAATTACTGAAAGTCACAAAGTCCCTTTAAACACGTCGTTTACCGGTGATAGCCGAAATTCTGTGCTGGTGTTTTTGAATTCTTCAAATTTCCAGTTGCTCCAAAACTAACCCAAGCTTTTACTACTCACAAGCTAAATTCATCTTTGCCTGTGTACATATGTTTCCCATGTGTACATATCCATCGTATGTTTCCACTTTTAACAGCTTTGGTTCAACTCTCTTTTCCAAAGGTTATTACTCTCCCAGTGCCTATGAACAAGATACCATGCCACTCCACTCAACTCCTTGCTATTCAACCTTATTTTACCATATCTTCTGACTCACAGCATTTCGTTAGTCTAGTGAGTTCTACATTATCTCCCCTGCCCAGCACTATCGAACTTCGTCGTCCTGCGGAAGACACTGCGTAATCCGGCATGGGACGAGAGGCGAATTGAACTCGTCTGTGAAGGCAGTGGTAGGTGCTGTTCGTAAATATTTTTCACATTGCAACTTAAAAATATTCTGTCCAAAGAAAACAATCTACTGTTTATTCAATGCAATAATGTAACACCTAAGAGCTTGTTTTATAATCATAACTTAACTTGACACAACCGAAACCAGCCTTTGGTTTTGTGTGCCGTGTTACTGTACCCCACTGGCCAAACTATAATGGAATCGTCTGACCTACTTCTTTCCTTGGAAGTAGACAGTTACACAACATTTTGACATGGCCGACGAGCCAGTGTTTACATTTTGCGAAAGGTTGAAATTCGAAGTGACAGTGGAAAAATACTTGACTGACTGTCGAATCTGAATCCTGCAGAATCGAAAATAGATCCTTTGTGATCGACCTACGACCTGTAAACTCATCAAAGACTGTTGATTTTTTATGACCGGCGAGTGTCGATCATGATTTCACGTAGTGCCTCCACCCGGCATGCGACGAAAGAGTGACAGTTCTGCTTTGTGTCGTATTCTTGATCGGAACTGTCTTGCTGTTGTATTAGATAAATTTAATTGCTTAATGTAAGTAATGAGAATACACAGTAATGGATATTTCGCGATGCATATGAATACCACCTCGCAATCAGTTGAACAGGAACAACTACATGCGGTTCGGTTTTGGATTGAGGAATATGGACTCGTCCGCCTTTTAGGGTACCGGGTACGTTTCTGTATTTTGACTTTGTTTAGGGTACATATCTATATCTAGAAGCGTACCTGGGGTACGTATCTGTAGTACCTGTGCCGACAACGACCCCTTCAGCATATGTTAGATATTGTTTGTTTATGTTTGGGACTGTGTATTGTAATTGAGTCTGAATATTTTATATAATAGAAGGTAATAATTATGATAGTGAGGGTTCCCTAATAATTGTGGAGGAGAAATCGTAAACTGTATTTTTCGAGTTTTAATAAATGTTTTATCAGCATTTCCATCACGTCTGTTGTGTTAATATTAGTCATGTTGGTGGCCAAGCTGAAGTAGTGCGGCAGTGATGTATACGTGCGCAGTGAAGCACCGTGAAATCAGACGCATTTTCAATCCAAATTGATACCGTCTGATTTTATTGATTGACCAATCAAATTCGAGCATTTCACGTAGCCATGGTGGAATGTTTGTTTTGTTTGGGACTGTGTATTGTATATTGAGTTTGAATATTTTTATAATAGAAGGTAATAATTATGATAGTGAGGTTCCCTAATAATTGTGGAGGAGAAATCGTATAACTGTATTTTCCGGAGTCTTCATATAAATGTTTTATCAGCATTTCCATCAGCGTCTGTTGTGTTAATATTAGTCATGTTGGTGGCCAAGCTGAAGTAGTGCGGCAGTGATGTATACGTGCGCAGTGAAGTACCGTGAAATCAGACGCATTTTCAATCCAAAATTGATACCGTCTGATTTTATTGATTGACCAATCAAATTCGAGCATTTCACGTAGCCATGGTAGAATATTCGTTACACTGCTATTCCACCTCCCCTATTCCGTACTTCGGAATCCCATGAGATGTTTGCATGCGCAATTGCTTCAGTACAACTCGCGCTTTGTTTTGGTTCAGAAGAATTTACGTCGCTCTCTTTTATTTTATCTCTCAGCGCTTGAGATAAGAGGTTTGTTTGGAAGAAGAATTGTGGGAACTACGAGTGTAGTCCCAGTGGTGATTAATCTCGAGTCTTTTGAGGTAGAGCACGCAGTGTCCGCGGTGAAATTGACTCTTTGGTTTTGACCAAGACGGCCCCCTTGATCGTGGTCATCCCTGTCATGGCGGCCTCTGGGGTCCAGACAAGGGACCAAGACTGACTTGGAAAATACTTCTCGACAGAGTATTTTGAGATTGTGGACAATATGAGAGGAACTTTGATTAACGTAACCCCTCCCAGATCAGGATCCATATATCATAACTACAAGGGGCTTCTTCCTCGATTGCCCTCCTTCGAGCAAAGATTTAGAAGATTGTGTGTGTGTGTCATTTTCATTCATTGTTTTGTTATATTTTCACTTCAAAGGAATGTTGAACTTATATCCTATTAAATATTACACATGAGCATCCATCGCCCATGCTACTTGAACTGCAACAAGCAAGTTTTATGGATTTCAACTTATATTTGTTATTAAGTGCGATGTGTCGGTGCATGTTCTACCGCCTTTATCAGGCTATAGAACCTTGTGCTAGAACCTTGCACTGAAACGTCGTACTTATAAATAAGTAGGAGTTGAAATCCATAAAACGTGCTTGTTATTTACACAAACTTCTAAATGCCACCAAAGATACTACTGGAACTCACCCAGTGTCACCAATGTTTACTGAACTCACTCAGTTTCACCCAATGTTTACTGAACTCACTCAGTGTCACCAATGTTTAATGAACTCACCCTGTAGGATACAACAATGGAGAACACAAAACAATTACTGAAAGTCACAAAGTCCCTTTAAACACGTCGTTTACCGGTGATAGCCGAAATTCTGTGCTGGTGTTTTGAATTCTTCAAATTCCAGTTGCTCCAAACTAACCCAAGCTTTTACTACTCACAAGCTAAATTCATCTTTGCCTGTGTACATATGTTTCCCATGTGTACATATCCGTATGTTTCCACTTAACAGCTTTGGTTCAACTCTTTCCAAAGGTTATTACTCTCCCAGTGCCTATGAACAAGATACCATGCCACTCCACTCAACTCCTTGCTATTCAACCTTATTTTACCATATCTTCTGACTCACAGCATTTCGTTAGTCTGAGTGAGGTTCTACATTATCTCCCCTGCCCAGCACTATCGAACTTCGTCGTCCTGCGGAAGACACTGCGTAATCCGGCATGGGACGAGAGGCGAATTGAACTCGTCTGTGAAGGCAGTGGTAGGTGCTGTTCGTAAATATTTTTTTCACATTGCAACTTAAAAATATTCTGTCCAAAGAAAACAATCTACTGTTTATTCAATGCAATAATGTAACACCTAAGAGCTTGTTTTTATAATCATAACTTGACACAACCGAAACCAGCCTTTGGTTTTGTGTGCCGTGTTACTGTACCCCACTGGCCAAACTATAATGGAATCGTCTGACCTACTTCTTTCCTTGAAGTAGACAGTTACACAACATTTTGACATGGCCGACGAGCCAGTGTTTACATTTTGCGAAAGGTTGAAATTCGAAGTGACAGTGGAAAATACTTGACTGACTGTCGAATCTGAATCCTGCAGAATCGAAAATAGATCCTTTTGTGATCGACCTACGACCTGTAACTCATCAAAGACTGTTGATTTTTATGACCGGCGAGTGTCGATCATGATTTCACGTAGTGCCTCCACCCGGCATGCGACGAAAGAGTGACAGTTCTGCTTTGTGTCGTATTCTTGATCGGAACTGTCTTGCTGCTGTATTAGATAAATTTAATTGCTTAATGTAAGTAATGAGAATACACAGTAATGGATATTTCGCGATGCATATGAATACCACTCGCAATCAGTTGAACGGGAACAACTACATGTGGTTTCGGTTTTGGATTGAGGAATATGGACTCGTCCGCCCTTTAGGTACCGGGTAATGTTTCTGTATTTTGACTTTGTTTAGGGTACATATCTGTAATACAGAAGCGTACCTGGGGTACGTATCTGTAGTACCTGTGCCGACAACGACCCCTTCAGCATATGTTAGATATTGTTTGTTTATGTTTGGGACTGTGTATTGTAATTGAGTTTGAATATTTTTATAATAGAAGGTAATAATTATGATAGTGAGGTTCCCTAATAATTGTGGAGGAGAAATCGTAAAACTGTATTTTTCGAGTTTTAATAAATGTTTTATCAGCATTTCCATCACGTCTGTTGTGTTGATATTAGTCATGTTGGTGGCCAAGCTGAAGTAGTGCGGCAGTGATGTATACGTGCGCAGTGAAGCACCGTGAAATCAGACGCATTTTCAATCCAAATTGATACCGTCTGATTTTATTGATTGACCAATCAAATTCGAGCATTTCACGTAGCCATGGTGGAATGTTTGTTTTGTTTGGGACTGTGTATTGTAATTGAGTTTGAATATTTTTATAATAGAAGGTAATAATTATGATAGTGAGGTTCCCTAATAATTGTGGAGGAGAAATCGTATAACTGTATTTTCGAGTCTTCATAAATGTTTTATCAGCATTTCCATCACGTCTGTTGTGTTAATATTAGTCATGTTGGTGGCCCAAGCTGAAGTAGTGCGGCAGTGATGTATACGTGCGCAGTGAAGCGCCGTGAAATCAGACGCATTTTCAATCCAAAATTGATACCGTCTGATTTTATTGATTGACCAATCAAATTCGAGCATTTCACGTAGCCATGGTAGAATATTCGTTACACTGCTATTCCACCTCCCTATTCCGTACTTCGGAATCCCATGAGATGTTTGCATGCGCAATTGTTTCCAGTACGCTCGCGCTTTGTTTTGGTTCAGAAGAATTTACGTCGCTCTCTTATTTTATCTCTCAGCGCTTGAGATAAGAGGTTTGTTTGGAAGAAGAATTGTGGGAACTACGAGTGTAGTCCCAGTGGTGATTAATCTCGAGTCTTTTGAGGTAGACACGCAGTGTCCGTGGTGAAATTGACTCTTTTGGTTTTTGACCGAGACGGCCCCTGGTCGTGGTCATCCCTGTCATGGCGGCTCCCCTGGGGTCAGACAAGGGACCAAGCACTGACTTGGAAAATACTTCTCGACAGAGTATTTTTGAGATTGTGGACAATATGAGAGGAACTTTGATTAACCCAACCACTCCTGATCTAGGGTCTGTCAAACTGTGCACAACTTTCTAGTCCCTCGGGCACTGGACAACCTCAGGGGTCGAAGGTCAGTGACAGGGTTGAAGCCGCAGATGTCGTGGACCATCAGACTGATAGACAGCCGTCTTTCTCATGGGAACACTGTATGGAATTCATGACGGCCAGTCAAAGAGCTCAGTGTGCTTCTATGGAGAAAGTTATCGGATCGGTAAAGTTATTTCTCAGCAAGGAGTTTCCGGGTGGTACCGAGCAGACCCGAAGTTCACCGATCATGGCTTCAACTTCGGGGAGTGGCACCGGAGATTCCCGAAGTGGGGCGGATGCAACTTCCGGGGATAACCAACATGGCGACGCCCGTGATGTATACAGTGATGACGAAGGGCCTGTTGGAGACGATTCTGAGTCGGATTGTTTTGATTCCCTTCAATCAAACCTGTGCGGAACCAAATAGAACCCCGATGACGACAATATCAAAACTCTTATGGCGGATTTTCATGAGTTCTTTGGAGAAGACGACGATACTTCGGAATTGTTGAGAGCTGACATGGCCAAATCAGTGAATGAGGGTATGACTAAGAGCCCGCACATGGGAAAATTGAAAGAGGTAATGGGGAGATACAAGAGACCTAAGAATTGTGAGGCATTGAGGGTCCCAAAGGCCAATGAAGAAATATGGCAACAGGCCAAACCGGCTACAAGGACTAGAGACTTAAGGGCCCAACAGACCCAGGGTTAATGGTGAAAGCCATGATTCCCTTAATCCATTGACGGATGCACTCATGAGTGCCATAGTCACCAAATCAGAAGTAGACATTAAAGACACCCTCATGAAAGCTACTGATTCAATAAGACTCCTTGCAGGGGCTCATGGCGATCTCAATACCAAGAGACGCGAAGGGTTTTAAACCTGATCTCAAAGACCCCTACAAAAAACTGTGTTTTGCTATGCCAGGGAAGAATTCAGGAACATATCTGTTCGGGGATGAACTTGGAAAAGGCATCAAAGACATTTCTGATGCCAGTCAACTTGGGTGCAAACTTGGCCAAGGAACATCATGGCAACCTAGTCGCCACAGATATAGGGGAAATCAGAGATTTGACCCCTACAGGCAACAGACACAACCCATCAGGACAGGAAAGGGTTTCCCCAACAAGGTTAAGAGCTCCAGGGGCAGAGGAAACCAACATGGTGGTTTTTTTAAACCGACGTCCCAGGGAGGACAACTTCAGGAAATAGCGGAAACACTAGACAGTGACAATAGTGCAGAGGTGAGAGACTTATTACACAGTCTATCTAATGTGCCACAGAATTTCACTGCAGGCAAAACTAAGCAGTTTGTGCATCATTGGTACAGTGTGACGTCTGATAACTGGGTTTTATCTAGTGTGGCAGGAGTTAGTATTGACTTCCTTTGAGTTGCCAGTTCAACATTATGTACCCAAACCTATCTTGTTTAATGAACAGGAATGGCACCAAGTAGACTGTGAGATAACTGAAATGTTAGCCAAGGGTATCATTGTTGAGTGTCTCCATGAACATGGGGAATATATCTCCATTCCATATAACATTTTCACAAGGGTTAAGAAAGACAATTCCTTGAGGGTTATCCTGAACTTGCAGTCACTTAATGGTATCGTGGATGCACACCCACTTTAAGATGGATACTTTCAAATCTGCCTTATATCTTGTTCGGCAGGATTGCTACTTTGCATCAACTGACCTGAAAAATCCTTTTTTTCAATACCGATCAGGCCAAGTGATAAAAAAATACCTGCGGTTCTACTGGAATCAACAACTAATGGACTATCTTCAGCCCCTCGAACATTTACAAAATCTTGAAACCTGTTTTCTCTACATGAGGAAACAGGGTTTTTCAATAGTGCTTATATTGATGATTCAATACTGGTTGGGGAAGATAAAAAGCACTGTGCAGACAATGTCACTCAAACTGTTGGATTACTTGACAGATTAGGTTTCTCCATTCATCCAGAAAAATTGGTGCTCACACCAAGTAAAGTGATTAACTACCTTGGGTTTTGTTATAAACAGTCAGACCATGACTGTAAACTTAACAACAGAGAAAGGGGAGAAAATTGGCAACAGTTGCAAGAATGTGTTGAATAAGGAAAGTGTGTCAATCAGAGAACTTGCCTCTTTAGTTGGGCAGCTCAATGCCAGTGGATATGGCATGAAACATGCACCTATTTTCTTTAAAGAGAATTGAAAATTTAAAAACAAGAGTTTGTCAAGGTGTAATGGCAATTATGAAGCAATTGTGCAGATAGATGAGGCATGTAAATCAGATCTGCAGTGGTGGATAGACCAAACAGGGCAATGCCCCCAGCCTATTACCATTCCACAACCTGATGTTGTAGTACAGTCTGATGTTTCAAAGAGAGAGAGGGGGAGAGTGTGTGGCAACGATAAAACAGGTGGGCTGTGGTCAGCTATGGAAAGTGGGAGACACATTAATTATTTGGAAATTTATGCCGCCTGGCTTACACTCCAATCTCTGTTCAAAACCTTCCGCAACACCAATATTAGACTTATGGTGGACAATACCACAGCAGTGGCATATACCAATCATATGGGGATGTAAACAGACTTGTAATGATATTACGAGGCAGATGTGGTTATGGTGTAAGCAGAGGAACATATGGTTAAGTGCAGCACACGTACCTAGTGTTGATAACTTTGAGGCTGATTGGTTTTCTAGGAATACAAGTGATGATACTGAATGGAAGTTAGATATTGATGTGTTTGTGACATTAGCTAAGGTATTTGGTGTGCCTGAAAGAGACTTATTTGCATCAAGGCTAAATAATCAGGTGGAGATATGTATCATGGTCCCCAGATCCAGGGGCAGAAGCAATAGATGCTTTCACATTATCATGGGCAACCTGTTATAATTATGTTTTCTGCCCATTCGAGTGTGACTGGACGAGTAGTTCAGAAAATCAAGATGGAGGCATCAGAAGCTCTCATGATAGCACCTCTATGGTCAACACAAAGCTGGTTCAATTCGCTCCTAGAATTGTCAGTCGACTGTCCTCGATTGCTGCCCAAGTCCAAAGCACCTCCTGACACTCGGCCATCTACCACTGAGAAGTACACCGACTACTTCAACCAGGCAAGTTGAAACTGGCGGCCTTCCGCTTGTCAGGGAAGCCCTGCAGTCAAGGTCAGGAATTCAGGGCTCTGCTGCAGACATCATCTTGCATTCATGGAAAGATACCACCAAGAAACAGTATAGGACATATCTGCGAAGGTGGATGCAATTTTGTTGTGAAAGGGGTATTAATTCCATTTCACCATCTTTAAATGATGGTTTGAGTTTTTGCAGCTTCTTTATCAGAAAGGACTGAGTTATTCTGCTATAAATTCAGCACGGTCTGCGTTATCATCTGCAGTAAAAGTAGATAATGTGCAATTTGGACAGCATCACCTTGTCATACGATTTATGAAGGGCATATTCAATTTAAGGCCAAGCTTCCCCAGATATATAACGTCACATGGAATGTATCTGTTGTTTTGCAATATCTAAAAGCACAATCTGACTCAGATTTGAAAGAGCTTACTACTAAGTTGGCTGTGTTACTGTTGTTATTGTCAGGACAACGTGTTCAATCCCTCCATTTGATAGACTGTAGAAATTTAGATATTGTAGACAATAGTGTTAGAATTAGATTTGGAGATTTATTAAAGCAACGCGACCTGGACACCATCAAGGGGAGATAACCATCCCTGGATTTTCAGACAATAGATTATGTGTTGTTAAGTTGCTCAAAGACTATGTTCATGTGACTAAAGAACTCAGAGGAGATGAAACTGATTTTTTATTGCAGTACAAAAAGCCTCACAAACGAGTGAGCAAAGACACTATTTCCCGATGGATTCGAGGTGTTCTTGCTGCTGCAGGAATAAACCTGGCAATGTTTAAGCCTCACAGTGTGAGATCAGCCTCAACAAGCGCAGCTGCAGCTGCCAATGTGCCACTCGCCACTATTTTGAGGACTGCTGGTTGGAGTAACCAATTTGTGTTCAGTCAGTTCTATGATAAGCCTATATCTGACAATGGACAATTCGGAGATACTTTATTGTTAATGGCTCAGAATGATAACCCTTAAGGTTAAGTCTCACCACAGAAACACTTATTACCTTGTTTGATTTATTGCATATTCTGAGTCAAAGAAAACCTTGTGGAAGGTCGCGTCGGGTAACCTTTGAGCGACCTATGACCGTCCAATCAAACGCGAGACGACCGAACGGATTTAACCCATCTGACAACAGCAGGTTCGGCGGGACTTACAAAATGAATTTTCTCGTCCCCGTTCGCCAACACTGATCTCCCAACAAATGAAAATTGCATAAAACAGATATTTGCCCAGCAGTATATACGCTTTGGGGTTTCTGTTAACATGGTTATCATTAGCTAATATTTCAGCAAGCTGACATCCTTGAATACTGCCAAAACACTATTTTCAGCGACTGTTTACTCACTGCTGTGGCGTGCCTCACGAGGAACCGATCGTACGGAAAATAGCATTCGGAATCGTTCGGTACTAAATTTTTGGAGGTAAAAGTTCAAATGGTATGTGCGAATGTCGACTTTCGCGATTTGGTAAGCTGTGTTCTGATTGGTCAATTGGAAAGGTTATATGACGCGACCTTTCACACGGTTTTGTTAGACTCAGTATAGCATAGCAGTGTAACGAATAATACTGAGTCTAAGTTTACTTAGGCTGATACAATGACCTTCCTGTTTTACGTTTTCAGAAGTTGACTGGTTCGCGGTAATGGCGAGAACTCGCAAACTGAAGACGCTGTTTGCTATATTCGTTTCAGTCGGGATGATTGTCATAGTTGACTGGATAATTAAGAATTCAAATGGCATTCACATTCCTAGAGGCACTAAACCAAACTCACTTACACTTTCACACAAAGAACACATCGGTTTGGACCATGGACAATATCATATCGCTCAATCTGAAATGACCAACCCAAAAGAAAAATGCCCGGATGTGTTGTCAAGGATGACCCTTGGACATTGGGTCAAGCGTCCATTGACCATATTGGAACAAGAAGAGATTGACACTTTCATATCTGTAGTCAGAAGAGGCCAAAACTTTTCACGGAAAGACGACCGATGTGGGAATACTACGATTGGCGGCAAACGCGAGCCTCGTGCTCTATGCTTGGCGAACGGCCCAAAGCCATGCTGTTTTGAAGGGCACTGCCGTAAAATGACCGTGTCACAATGCCAATGTCGGAACTGTTACGACATCCGTCAACAGGTCCATGCGGAATTTGCAACATGGCAGCCCTCGGATGAAAGGTGTCAACCAAAATTGTATAGTGCCAAACAAGCTTGTGCATTACTGACAAACGGAACCATTCTAGTTGTTGGGGACTCTTTTCAGCGCCACCTGTTTTCGGCACTCCTCCTTATACTAAGAGGCAACGATACCCAAGGACCTTTGAGCAAGAAGACACCTACTGGTAATACTGAATTCATTAATGGCGAATCAAATATAAATATTCACTCAGTTGTGTATAGTTCGTCATATCATTTACAGTCTTTATTTTTATTTTTTACAAACTTTATTTTACTTTTTATATATTTTTTACTAGTTCACTTTTAATTGAATATGTTATACTACACTGTTTATCAGACAAGACAATTGTTTATTGCTTCAAAGACTTGGACTAACCGTCCCTCGTCTGTTTTTTACAGAGATTTACATTTGTGCCAGACAATGGAGGCTGGACTTATTATTTCTACAAACACAGTTTAATATACTTAAGCAAAATACATCAATGGAAATTTCGATTTACACTGAAACAGCTCTAATAATCCAACTTCATTTGGAGGGGCCCAGTAGCATTTATCAATATATTTTACTCTGTTTGTATGGTGATTTAGACACACAAGCAAGAAATGATATTCGTCTTCTATGACATGAGTTCCAGATGGCATTAAAATTAACAATATCTCAAATGTCTATCAATGTTTTTGTAACGTCCTATTACAATTTGTAGCTTATGGCATGATATTCTAATCTTTGTTAGATAGCATCGTAGATTCTGTGGAATCAAATTAAGACTGATAACACTTTTTAAAACTTTTGAATACAATATAAGCTTACTACTCTTCTGTAAATCAGTTTGCCATTTTATCATTGTATGCTTGTTTGAATGACCACCGTCCTTACGTTTCAATTTTGCTGAAATATTGCAATTTCGACGGGTTCGTCAATTCACAAGTACATTTACTTACAAACATGCACACTTTAAATACACCAAAAAATATAAAATGTAGATCCCAATATTACTAACCCAAACAGATGAAAAAATATTCACAGTTACCTTTCACCTTGAGTATATTTATGAATAATTTTCTTTTGTTTCAGAATTCCTAAAGAAATGTTCGGGTATGAATGCTTTTGGTTTAAAAGAATGTCGGAAATACATCGACATCCATCCTGGACACTCACTTTGCAACGGAAGCGTTCACGTCAATTTTGCCAGTCATGCGCATTTTCAGTCGAAACTAGGCATGTTACGGTACGTCAAAATGTCAGCAAACCAACGCCGGCATATCATTCTCGGAGGCATCGGTATCCATGACAATGCCAATTCCTCATTGGTAACAACCTACATCCAACCAGCTTTGGACCTTTTGAAAAATAAAACATCAAAATGGCCGTTGTTGATGTGGTCTAACATTCATTCACCTGGTCTAACTAAATCGCCCTACTTCATATTCCAAGGTTCCGAGAACATTCTGGCTTTCAACAAAGCAATGAGGAAACTTTTCAAGAAACACAATGTGCCCGTTTTGGATACATTTAATCTTACCCAAGGAGTGACAAGCTTCGATGGGACACATTATGGGCTTGGCGTCAACTTAATGAAAGCCCAGATTCTCTTGAACTATATTGCAGAACAAGAAATAAGAGGACGATGGTGAAAGCATATATTTTTTATCAAAGACATGCATTTATTCAAGAACATTCGGATCACATAGCGTGAAACCCCTTTAACTGGAACTCCTTTTACCCTCTTGATACACACACAGGGGCGTGTCACGCTTAGAAACAGCGTTAGAAAGACATATAGGTATATAGACCCTACCCTAGTACTATATAAAAGGTTATCCTTTTATATAGTGCTTGGGTACTAGGTTACTAGGTTATCCTTTTATATAGTACTAGGGTACTAGGTTACTAGGTTATTTCACAGATCTATTTTTAGGCAGTTTTGTTTGTAAAATTTGTAAAGAAAACAGAAGCGACAAACCACTTTCCACATCGATAAGAAATCTCTGCCAATTTGAGTCGGTTATACCATTCCGTCTTTATTGTGAGCATGTGTTTGTTCGTTTGTATGTTTAACGCCACACTCAGCAATATCACAGATGATGACTTCATATCGATGGCAAAGAATTTAACTATGCTGAACAATATTACACGTAAAGCATGTGAATGGCAATTGGAGATTGGAACATAGCCGAGCTATGTGACTAAGTGTGACTTTCTGTCGCACCATAGAGCAAGGGGAAACGGTTTTCGTCCCTCGTCGATATACCAATCATAACTGCTGAATTATGTTGCACTTTTGGCATTCATGCCTTAAATGGTAGATTAGCAAATGATGTATTGGTCAATTTACATGCTTTACTTATAACGGTTGCAGTGTAGTTGACTACATGCTAGCTTCTTCGTCATTATTTCCTTTCATAACGCAGTTTAACGTCGGAACACTAGATAACTCATATCACTTTCCACTATCATGTACACTCAATATCAACACACATTACAGTAAGCTCCCCTCCACTGCTCATTCTACCATGCTCACCTCTAACAGTAAGCTCCCCTCCACTGTTCATTCTACCATGCTCACCTCTAACAGTAATACACAAAAGGGTCAACAGGATAAATGGACAAAAGACATGTGGTACAAGGAGGAAAACAGTGCATTCATTACAGACTTCAGGTCATTGTTTAATAATCAATACACTCATTTAAATGGCCTCATCCATAACAATATCGACCAAGCACTTTCATATTTAGTAACTCTTTTTCAGAAAGCAGTTGATCACACAAAGATCATATATAATGGTTCATTTCCTTCACAAACGAGAACACATCCACCTTGGTGGGATCAGGACTTAGAAAACTTAAAGCATGACAAATATGCAGCACTCAGGGCCCATAGAGATCACAATGCAGACTTTAATATCTGGAGACAGTTACGAACACTCTTCAAATGTACATTCAAGTAAAAAAGATTACATTTCCAAAATAAACAGAAAGATAAACTAGTAGCAGCAAGTATTAACCCTAAATTATTTTGGAAAACACTTAAAATTGAGGATCTTCACCACAAGTTTCATCCAATATCCCACGCCAACAGTGGACAGATCACTTCTTAAATCTGTTATGCATTAATACTCCTCAAAACACACCAGAACATTTACCTTCACCTTTACAATCTACAAGCAACACTGATTCTGTTTTGAACCAACCATTTTCCGAACAAGAAATATCTACAACTATTCTCTTTTTGCCAAACAGTAAAGCCCCTGGTCCAGACGGGATTGCTAATGAATTTCTAAAGGAGTCGAGAAGTTTCATTGTCCCTACTTTCACTGTTCTATTTAACAAAATTTATGACTCTGGCTATTTCCCTCCCAGTTGGGGTAAGAGCATTATTTGCCCTTTGTTATAATCTGGAGACAAGAACGACCCCGACAATTACCGTGGTATATCCCTCATTGAGTCTTTTTAAATTATTTACATCAATTCTAAATAAAAGATTAAAAGTCTGGTGTGATTTAAATAATATCATTTGTGAATATCAGGCTGGCTTCAGGGAAAACTATTCTACAATGGACCACATTTTTACACTTCAGGCTGTCATACAGAAATATTCATGTAAAAAAAAGGGCAGATTTTATTGTCTTTTTATCGATTTTTCAAAAGCTTTCGATACTCTTAAACATGATAAACTTATAGATTCTCTTCATAAGGTTGGATTAGATGGGAAGTTCTTAGATATTATCACATGTATGTATAATACACTTTGTGCCTGTGTTGTAACCCCTGAGGGACTTTCTAAGCAATTTTTTTTGTAATGTGGGTACCCGCCAGCGATGTACTTTAAGCCCTCAGATATTATAATATATATTAATCATTTATGCACAATTATGCAAAATTAAAGTGGTAAGGGAATATTTATCACTGCTGTTTTCAATAATGTGTATGCCCTTATGTTTGCTGATGATGTTTCGGCTCTTTCAGACACTTGTATTCAATTGCAGAAAAAGATAAATGCCCTTGAATTATTTTGCAAAGAAACAGGAATGAAATTAAACCTTAAGAAAACAAAAGTGGTTGTTTTCAGAAATGGAGGGCCTCTTAGATCTTATGAAAAGTGGTATTTAAATGGGATAGCAAATAGAAACAGTATCTTGTTATAAATATCTTGGCATTATATTTACACCAAAACTTGTTTGGTCCAGGGCACAATTATGTTTAGCATCTCAGGCTAGAAAATAAATAGGTCATCTTGTAATTCCATGGCCCTGGGTGAATGTGGCAGATTGCCCCTGCAGATTAATTATATGACCCGTGTAATCAAATATTGGTGTAGATTGTTTCAACTTCCTCATGACAGATTACCTTTTCAAAGCTACCTTATGCTTAAGTCATTAGATGATAGTGGTAGAACAACATGGGCATCAAAAGTTAAAAGTCTTCTTTTTAATTTTGGTTTTGGAAATGTTGGTTGAGCCAAGATGTTGGTGATGTAAAGATGTTTATAAACTTATTTAAACATAATTATCAGATAATTTAAAACAGTCCTGGTACTCTTCCCTGAGTAATTCCTCCAAATGCACCTATTATCAGTATTTTAAATCAGCGTTAAATGTTGAATGTTATTTATCGTTTAACCTTTCTACACATTTAAGAGCTGTTTTAGCACAATTTAGGTGTAGTAAATTTAAAATAGCTGTAGAAACTTGGCGTTATAACAACACTGATTATAATCAAAGATTTTGTACATCATGTAAATCTAAAGATCTTACCTATATAGAAGATGAATTTCATGTACTGTTCATTTGTGAATCCTATTCACAAATAAGGGAGAGGTTTATTACAAAATGTGTTAAAAGGCCTTATACTGTATATTCTTTAGCAAATCGTTTCAAGAATACTAATGCAGACACTGTAAAATATGTTGCCTTGTATCTATTTTATGTTAAAAGGATTATTACAAACACACTTGAATGATCATTGTGCCCCTGACTACACTGGAATTTCCTTTTGAATGTATTTTGGGCCTACGGCCTTTTACTGGAAATAAACTCTGTCGGTCTGTCAATATACCAATTAGCACTGATATATCATATATCCTTTACAGATAATAAAACTTTTGAACACAATCATCTCCTCATCAATCTACATTATCTATCGTTGATCATGACCCGCAAAACATTGACAATAGGAGATATAAGACCGTGAAGTATTCTCAATTTGAGAACTGTTCTACAAGACTGTGTGAGTCACTGGCGATGGAGAATATTAGCATTGCGCCAAGGCTATACTGAAATGCTGAGCCTATGAATGTATAGTAATTTTATCCTTTCAAGAGGTGAGTCTAGATAAGCAGGACGCCAGTCTCTGAGAGGGGCAGTGTGTTAATTGCATTTATATTTTTTAGAAATTATCATTGAAGCTATTACTTAGCTTATTACCTTAGAGACTTGTGCAAGTCTAGGGAAGTACATATATGTACGAAAGGTATCACTGCGTCAGAAGCTGAGGCTCAATGTTCCACGCACTTTAATACACGACCATTACATATATGGTCATATGTTAATCTTATTAAATAACATAACTAACCACACAGTACATTTCCAGATTTATGACAAGTTAAGTTCACCAAGTTTACCGACAAAGTGTCGTATATCACATGCTAATAATAATAATAATGAGAATATTTATAACGCGCCTATTTCAGGCTAGATATCCTGCTCAAGGCGAACAATCTGATCATTATTACCCCGGATAACCAAGCTAGAAGGTTAATAGGCTCACGACTTATCCCACCAGGTACCCATTTTCTGCTGGGTGAACAAAGGCAAGTTTGAACAAACTCACTTGCCTGTGAGACTAGATGTATCAGATGTTAATCACTTCTCGACTCTTGCTATTGAAAGTACCATTTCGCCGTGAGAGGCACACCCCTGCTTGTCTCAGCTACTCGCCACAAATCCCTGCTATGTGTCTCCTTACACAGACAGTCACATGACGTAGTCTGTCCCACTGTGATGGGACATCATATTTACCCTTCCACTCAGCCCTTTCTGCATAATCTAAATGAAGCAAGTCTAGATTTGCTAAGGGTCAGAATCGCACTAGGGCGCCTTCACTTATTTCTATCGAAGTTATATATTTTCAGAGACGAAGCGTAAGTATAGACGTATCCTAGTGCCTAGCCTTGCTAAAAGGCTGTATTGAATGCTGAGTCCATGCATATGTATAGTAAGGACCCCAGTCTGTTAATTATTATTTTTTTAGAAATTATCATTTAATTTTTACCTTATAGACTTGTGCAAGTTTACGTAGTGCCGTTCCATGTGTTACTTTTCGGGCCCTAGTCTGTTATTTATTATTTTTTAGAAATTATCATTTAAACTATTCATTTTTACCTTTGAGACTCTAAGGACCTCAGTCTGTTATTTATTATTTTTTAGAAATTATCATTTAAACTATTAATTTCTACCTTAAAGCCTTTGTAAGTCTACGTAGTGCCGCTCCAGGTGTTACTTCCCCGGATAGGCCGTAGTACAAACACTCTTATCGTATCGGGACACATTGTACACTCCTAGCCGTGACATGGGATTCTATCCTAACACTTCTTAATCCCCGCAATAGGATTGATCTGTTTGCATACATATACTGAGGGTTATATTTCAGATATCACTACTGTAAGCCGTCACCAAACAATCTCTGCATCACCAGCTTATTTCACCTTCCTAAGCGCTGAAGAGGGGAGCAATCGTGTCGAGATTATTGTCTGAGTAGGCACTCCACCTTTTCGCTGTTACATCCGTTAAACGATAAAGCGAGTTGTAACTATATGAGTGAGTGAGTGAGTATGGTTTTACGCCGCTTTTTTAGCAATATTCCAGCAATATCACGACGGGGGACACCAGAAATGGGCTTCACACATTGTATCACATACCAATTCTGATATAACTAGATTAGCGGGCGTGAAAAATGGGAGCCCCTATACTAACTATGTTCCCTTCTTCGCCGCTGGTGATATCAGTCAGGGGGAGAAGTGTTCATGTTATCGATATATGAGAATGTAACGGCCGAACCTGAAACCTGAAGTTTCTGATAAACCAAAATAGCTCAACAAAACATACACTAAATACTATCAACTCGTGTTAAAGGTCACATAAACCCTAGGGGTTAAAAATACATAAATCACTAACTGGCATCGTTATAAATGAAACCCCGTCATTAAAACTACTCATTTCGACCTTTAATTGACTTAAATCGACCTTTTTGACAACAGTGCACAATTCTCACCCGCGAACGAAATTTCAACCAATCAGAGCGGCGCGACTCTGTGACGTCATATGAGGAATAGCTTTGAGGGCCGATGCAGAATTCATCTACATTTTAGGGGTTAAATTATTTTGTTTACAGGCTTGTATAAACCTGAAATCGTGACAATTGTTGTGGAAAATAAAAGCTATATGTTCTCACAATCTACTGTCATTTAATTTTGTCTCCTGCTTTGCCTAGTTTCCGAGTTACAACTTGTTTTCATAGACGATTCTGTCAAAATCGATTGGTGTCGTTAGGCCCTATTTGTATAATGACTGATCCAAATCGATCCCATTTCTGTGTTTTTTTACCTCGATATTTAATCATGTCATGTAAAAATCTGTTTGTATTCTCAAAACAGTATCGGCCCATAAGTTTTCACATGCAATACAGCAATTAATACTCCCTTGTTGTAACCCGTGTTAGGTAGTATAAACCTACACATGTTATTTGTCACCATTCACTTGATGGTCAGTTAATGAATTTATAACAGGTATAATTAGTGGTAACACACTTAGATTACCCGACAAAGGTTCCCATTTGGCATTTCTTGTGTCTGGAGTAAATATTCAACATTATAAACATCGATCAAAGGATTAACCGATAACACGCTGATTGATTAATTACTTTTATCTTACACAGCGGAATTGTCAAAAGGTAGTGTTTATGTATGTAGATTTACTAATCTATACTGAATACACTCTGTCGTGTCGGTGTCTGCGTAAAAACAACGTCCTTCTTTCAAAGGATTAACCGGCAATACATTGATTGATTGCCCATTATTGGCTAACTAAATTACTGTTTTTAATGAAAGGCGGACATTATGCAATTAGTTGCCAGGTGTGCTATCTTGGGTGACCAATGAGACTATACACCAATACCTGAAAAGATTTATCACTGTTTCGTATATTAAACTGTTAAAAGACACATCATTTGGAACAGTTTTGTGGATATTGATGGATACATTCCTCGAACAAGGTAATGGCCTGATATTGTTCCTATAACTTTAATCTGTTTTAATTTTAATATTTGCATTTTGATTTTATTCATTTGTCGTAGCATTCAACAGAATCATTGTTTTCGAATTGTGTGTGCGAATTATGATTCACATTGGCAAACTATAAAATGTCTAGATATTACAGTTCTGTTATAAATTCACTATAAGTATCAGCAGATCGTCTGCTTTTTATTTAGTTTCAAAATGCATACAAGTATGATAATAAACTAATTAGGATTATAAGACCAAATATAAAGACGCACATTGACTAGTATCTACATACTGGTGAGTGGACATTAACCATGGGAATGTAGCAAGAAATTTATCGCGCAGTATTGAGACTTCGACCCCCACCTCGCTTCCGTGGAAGAAATCGTTATGTTATAAGTTGTGTCATGCAAAATCCGTTTGGTTATGATTCCAATACATATTTAACTACGAGTAGAAAAGTAGTCTTGATTATCTAACTAGATAAAACAAACTATAATCTCATTAATTCTAACAGATTTTTTAATTTTTTAAAATGGCGGCGCCCTGTCGGGAACATCCGCCAGTCTGAGGATAAATGGTATTTAGGTTAGTTTTCACCGAGTTACAAAATCAAAACTACTTTCTACTGGTAGTAAAATATGTATTTTATTGATGGCCAATAGGATTTTGCATGACATAGCGTATAACATAACAATTTCTCTCGTGGCAGCGAGGTGGGTGTCAATATAATACTACTTACAATATTATTGTTACTTCGACCACAACCTCACTTCCGAGGAAGAAATCGTTATGTTACAAGTTGTGTCATAGAAAATCTTTATGGTCATCAATCATATGCATATTTTACTACAACTAGTAAGTAGTTTTGATTCTTTAACTTCAGTGAAGCGATCTGAACACAAGTAAGATATCGTTTCAGGCTTCCACAACGCTCGCTTCGCACTCACAAACATAACCGATTTAGCACGAACTGTGGGGTCCTGTGGAAATCTGTGCATGGGGACACCATCGCCCGACCCCTAGGAGCAATTGACGACAAAGCAACGATTCGGCATGTCATCGTTGATGTCGAGAGATCATCAAAATGATGAGCGTGCTACACATTTTCTATACAACTAACTGAAAATCGTTCCTCATATGACGTCACTGCAGTGCTCTGGCGACAGAGTTACGTAACCTGTCTGTGGGTTCGTTGGCGGGCGAGAGGGAAGCAGGCGACTTTTTTGGCCACTTTTAATAGCTCGGTATTAATTAACCACAAGTTTTTAAAGAATAAATTTGGTGTTCCGCATAAGACTAACCACAAATCTTTCATATGTAATGGTTAAAAGAGTAACAAAAAACAAAGTTTAGTGGTTCTTTAAAGAGGCCGTGGTACGGGGGTCGAAGTCGAAGTCTAATCTGACTTTCAGTGTCTTAACTATAGTAGTTTCTCTAGCCTGCACAAGTCTCTAAGCTAATAATAAATACTTTAAATTATGATTTCTAAAAAAATATAAATGTCCCTCTAACAAACAGTGATACTGCCCGCTTACCTAGACATGCCTCTTCAAAGGATAGAATTACTATACTTCATTGGAACAAGGTTCCCTTGATCGACTTTTTCTGTAATATGATACTCGCAAATGAAGCAAGTCTAGATTTTTTCTAATCTCCCGCGTTTTCGTATCGTCTGACAGAGTTCCCTGACTTTTATTTTTCTCTTCGCCTAGGTCTTAATGTAATGTTGCACCTTTATCTGAAGTAGGTCCAGATTTTCCACTGGTTGTCAATCTCACTGTAGCTTGTAATGAATTTAAGCGGCGTGTTTTCTATCACAGTTGTAGACACTGTGGTGATGTGTAGACTAACGCTTGGTCTCTGAATATATATAATTTTGATAGTAAAAAATACAATCCATTTAAATTGAAAAGGAGACCCAGTAGAGGGGAGATTCAGACCTGCACGTGGGGAAATCTAGACTTTTCTTCATTTAGGGCTTTAGAATTGCAAGGAGGGCTAGGCAGTAGAGAAAATAATGTGGTTCAGGGACTGTGAGACAGACTATGGTGATGTGATGTGTTATGAAATCCCGCCTGGTTCGCCTCTCATGCGGTCAATACATATTTTCAGAGAATAAGCGTATTTTTGTTGCAGTATCGAAATACGTTGCCATACCACTATGCAGGCTCAGAGCTCAGCGACACAATAATAAGTTTTCAGCCTTGTGGGAAACTGAAAAGTCAATGATAAAAAAAATCATAATAAATATCTATGGCAGTTAACACCCAGAGAACAGGGGACCTGTTTCGGCTCTGTGGGGTAATCCTTGTGAGACAACAAAACATTGTCTCAGTCTCGACTGGGAATCACACACCAAACCCGATCTAATTAGATTTGCAGGCTAACGACACAAACATAAGTGACCTACTTACAAGCAGAATGAAGGTTCCCAGGAATTCCGCCAAGAATTCACGTGTTAGAGGAAAGTTTTGCAGATTGAAACACGTCTGTCGTCTGCACGTATCGGCCATGTTGTTCAACACTGATGGTCAGTAATCCGTGTTTACATGTGTTAACGATGCACGGTGCAAGAACAAGGACTCCTTACAGCCTCCTCTGGTTCTGGTACATAGTGAATAGAGGGGGGAGTGAGAAAGATGGGGGTGTAGGGAGGGGTGTCAATCTCATGCCCCTTTCCGGCAGGGGGCGTAGCCGTCTTATCGCCATGATATTCCATCTTGATTGATTTATACAATGTAAACATAAGGCATGAATTATGTCTTCAGTATTATGACCTAGTTTAATGATTACGGCCTTGTTACAGTGTTGACAGAGTAATGACTTGTTTTAAAGCTCCAATGCCAAACCGTATGCACATAAGGCACCTGCGGTTGTTGATGTCGCTGCCGTATGTCGTTTGCATCGCGTTGACAGACAAGACAATCACTCAAACGCATTATCTCCTCGTGTTGCTAGCTTTACCATACCCGTAACTGATGACATTTCTGTTAGCTGAAATTCCAGGACAGTAGGTCCTCAATGCTTGTGGGAACGCCAGGGAAGAATAGGTGCACAGTAGTCACTGGTTATTAGAATTCCAGGACAGATTACTTTAGTTTCTCCTTGCTCTTTGTGGCCTTAGTGCTCTATATTTGTAGGAATAACAGGACAGAATAGGTTCCTCGGTGTTGTATGCTTTTAGGAATAACAGGTCAGAATAGGTCCTCGGTGTTGTATGCATTTAGGAATAACAGGACAGAATAGGTCCTCGGTGTTGTATGCTTTTAGGAAGAACAGGACAGAATAGGTCCTCGGTGTTGTATGCTTTTAGGAATAACAGGACAGAATAGGTCCTCGGTGTTGTATGCTTTTAGGAATAACAGGACAGAATAGGTCCTCGGTGCTGTATGCTTTTAGGAATAACAAGACAGAATAGGTCCTCGGTGCTGCATGCTTTTAGGAATAACAGGACAGAATAGGTCCTCGGTGTTGCATGCTTTTAGGAATAACAGGACAGAATAGGTCCTCGGTGCTGTATGCTTTTAGGAATAACAGGACAGAATAGGTCCTGGGTGTTCTATGCTTTTAGGAATAACAGGACAGAATAGGTTCTCAATGCACTATGTTTGTAGAAATAACCGAGCAGAAGACGTCCAAAGTATTCAGTGTTTGTGTGAGAGACGTCGTAGCGAGGGACACTGGTGATGTTGTGTGTTAAATCCCGCCTGGATCAGCTCTTATGCGGCCCATCAGTGGTTTAACTGGTTCAGGCAAGATTGCGTACATGTCTCCGTTCTAGGAATGTTGATGAATTAATCATTATGTCCTTCTACACCATATGCGAGTGAGAGTATGGTTTTACGCCGCTTTTAGCAATTTTCCAGCAATATCACTGACCCCAGAAATGGGCTTTACACAGTGTACCCATGTGGGGAATCGAACCCAGGTCTTCGGCGGGACGAGCCAATGCTTTAACCACTAGGCTACCCCACTGCCCCTACACCATATGCGGCGAATAAAGAAAGTACTTTGACATCAGTTCTTTGTGGTAATTAGAGCGTATTTAATTCCTATTGGTTTTCTAAATATTTACATTCTTTAACGCAGAAAGCAGGTGGCATGAATATCCCAGTGATCCAAGGCACACATTCTCGATGCTGATAGTTACGTCTCCTAGCTAAGAAGATGCGATCGTCGTGGGTTTAAATCCAAGATTAGAGTAGATTAAATCTTTGGCATGTCACGAATGGTAAAAGTGTTCTTTGAAATCAGTGGTTACCTGCTATCAGGGGACAAAAATGTGTGTATGTCGCAAATATATGTATATGTATAGAGTTCCGTCCCATCGGCGTGACAGGATCCGGTGACCCGGCGAGGCAGCACTTTGACCCTGTGATTTATATACACTAAACGCCAAAAGATACGTTACCCTCCTACCTTAATGAATTACTTTTAAAAATATCAAAGATATGTTAGAAGGTATTGGTTTACAAGAAAGCTTAACAGCACAGCTGTATGCAAATCACGAAAAATATTTCTCAAATGCAGTCATATTTAGGTGCAATACATTTTTTTCAGAAGAGTTAAATTGTCCTATTTTCGACCATGCCGAAATAATGAGTGAGTGAGTGAGTATAGTTTTACGCCGTTTTTAGCAATATTCCAGCAATATCAGGGCGGGGGACACCAGAAATGGGCTTTGTTAAATTGTAAAAAGAATCATTCCCATGATTTCAGTCTTTAAAAACATTTCAGCTGATTTGTATTAGTGAAAACGTGTTTTTTATATTGTGAAAAGTGTTAAGGAACAAATTATCCTTTTAACATTTATGCTTGCAAAGTAACATTTTCCCATTTTCTGTTTACACATAGCAATATCAATCGCCAAAACGTAGCAATATTCAAACAGTATTTGCACAGTAATTTCACGTGTAGAATGATTCTATAGGTATGAAGAGAGCCTAGAATACTTGATATGATACACAAGTACGAGAAATATGTCACGACTAATAGCTGAAGAGAGAGCAACAGCCATTAGGATGGTGCAGATAGGGTCGACATACAATGCTGTTACCAACGCCCTCGGATGCCACCGTATCACGGTTATAAGACTTATTCAGCGCTACAGACAGACTGGGGTCATCGTAGACAGACCATGAAGTGGACGTCCACGCATCACAACGCCAGCTGAAGATAGGTACCTCCGTCATTAATAAAGGACGGTAACGTTTCTTTCGTTTCTTCTGTGACCTGTATTACTTCGGGTTTTCCTCCCACTGTAAGCCTTCCAAAATGGCGTTGAAACAAACTCACTCACCCCTATAAAGACTCGAACACATAATATACGTGAAATACTATTCAGTGAGTCATCGCCCACTATCCGGCGTAACCCCTATTTAAACAGAGTTATGCACATACACGTTAAGACACTATAGTATAGGAGTGAGTGAGTTTAGTTTTATGCCGCACTCAGCAATATTCCAGCTATATGGCGGCGGTCTGTAAATAATCGAGTCTGAACCAGACAATCCAGTGATCATCAGCATGAGCATCGATCTGCGCAATTGGGAACCGATGTAAGACACTATAGCTAGATAAAAACGGGCTATCATTAAGATGTATTTTTCACAGATATTCTCCACTCCTCACCCCAAGGGGAGTGAGTGAGTGAGTATGATATTACGTCGCTTTTGAGCAATATTCCAGAAATATCAGCAGAAATGGGCTTCACACACTGTACCAATGTGGGGAATCGAAACCGGGTCTTCGGCGTGACGAGCGGACGCTTTAACCACTAGGCTACCCCACCGCCCCTAATCACCCCAAGGGATATTCGATAACCGAGAAAAGACAATCTAATATTTAAAAAGGTGACACTACCTTTAAGTGGTGACCTTACGTCACATTAGACAGTACGCTGCATATCAGCCATGTATTACGAGCAGCCTGTCACACAACGACTGAGAGTCATAAACAATTTACTGAACTTTGCTCTTTCTACAACAGCGAGGGAGTGTATTCCCATTACTTACTTTAACAACGGTTTACGTAAATATTCAACAGAATTTAATACCGTTATTATCAACATACCTGTTGTTGTTTGTTTGTTGTTTAACGCCGCACCCATCAATATCCCTGCTATATGGCGTTGGTCTGTAAATACTCGAATGTGGACCTCATGCGTTAAAGATTTATAAATACGTTAAATTAAGTTTAAGACATTGTTTATTGGAGAGGCGAAGTTAAATGAAAATATAAACGGTTTATTGTAGTCGCATTAAGATGTAGTCCACTGTGTCCGATACGCCATCAGCGGTCAATTCAGGAAACTACGACAGGTCTCATGTCTCCTTTCCTATTTTTAGCATGGACGAACTTTGAACCATGTGAGCAGGATCCCGGGCAATCCAGCGATCAACAGCATGAGCATCGATCTTCACATTTGGGATACGATGACACCTACCTGTTGTTGTTTCTGCATCCTCGATAATCTCCAGGGTATACGTTACGATCTATCTCCACTATACCCTGGATGCATCCATGGCTTGGCCCGATAAATATATTACCTCCCTTTGCTGGCTCCGCATTCTCACAGCAGCCAATCAGCTAAGCCGCCGTTACCTCCGAGCATGCCAGCTAGTGTCAACAAAGATAGCGGTCGCAGTTGCGAAGGTTTGTTCGCAGTAACACTCAGATTTTTTGGGTTATAATACAGACAAATTGACAGATCTGAAACTTTCAAAAAATATCTAAAAGAACTCCTTCTACATCTTTCAGAGTACCTCTGCATCAATTGTGTTGCAAAGTTTAAACGGTTAGATAATTTAGGAAGCGAAAGTGAGTTGTGATTTGTTCGCTCAACTTCCCAGCGTAGACACCTGATTGGATAAAAAGCCAGCCAAGGGAGGTAATAAAATCATCGGGCCAAGCCGTGGCATTCGTCACCACTCGCCCCTTTCTGTAATCTCGCTATTCGGCTTGTCCCGGAATAACACGAGTTGGTCACGAATGAAGACGTGGATGCATCGAGGGTATGTTGGAGAGTGATCGTAACGTATTTCCTGGAGATTATCGAGGATGTTGTTTCTGTGGCTGTTGTCGTTTCTGTACATAAAGTGTCGAGGCTCGGGACGACGGTACATGCGTGGTCATGACTCCGTGCTTATAATACTATAATTAACAGTTGTAGTGTCAGTGTCGTGGGGATGGAACTCTCTTCTGAATTAACTGTTCTGATCTTAGATATGATCTGTGAAAGGAAGCTATTTATTTCGAGCCCTTATTTGTAACTTGTGACATGTCTCCCTCTGATCAGACTGTCCTTCTCATGGGGAATGACAGGTCTACTAAACCCCCCTCACTGATATAACTGCTTTTAAGACAAACGCCCTCCATTGTAGCACACGTATTTCCCTATTTATGTATGCAGACTGTCTAAATTGACCCAGTAACATTTTCTATGTCAGCAATTTCCATGATATGTTACAATGAATTTAGTTGTCTCCCAGGCCAAGTGTGACACCGTCCTATTAACATAACTTTTATGTATGTACAGACACGTGACATTTGAATAAACTATTTCCTTGTTCTTCGTCGTCGCCGTTGTCTCCTTATTCGACTATACCCACGTCATTTGTTAATCCACCAATCAAAGATGAGTAACGTCACACGTGTCTGTCAGATTGTACATCAACATGTATGATTCCAAGTAGATCTTCACTAACATCATGTTTTTCTCAGTCACAATTCAGTACAGCATCGTC